AAAAGCCATCAGCAGTAATAGTATTATGGGGCTGGTGGTCGAAGAAGTGCAGAGGGCTCCAACTCGTGCCTGGGCTCTCATGTGTCACAGGGCAAGGAGAGGAGATGGGAAACAAAGCCTGGGCTGCGGAGGGCTGGGGAGCAAGACCGACCCGGATGAGCGAGGATCTGTAGGGCTGCGAACATGCGATGGGGTTAGCATGCCCTGGCTTCGCATCCCAAGGTTGCCGTGCCTAAGCTCTGTGACGTTGGACAAATGCTTCGTCAGGGCCCCAGTTTCCTCCTGCTGGGACAGGGGTGCCCCGGGGACCTCAGGGGATGTGGTGTGATCTTCCAGGGTTGTCATCATCATAGCAAGTCCTTGTCCTTGGGAGGGTAGCTGGGGTCCACAAGGGCTAGCTGCTGGGTGCTCTTGCTGGGTCCTCTGTGGACGTGTCTCAGCGCACTGGCTTCCCTCCACGGCCCCCTTGAAAAGAGAACAGGCAGGAGTTGTGGAGAGTAGCTACGCACGGAGCTCTGCACCTGCAAGTCAGCGCATGATTCTTCTTCTTACAAAACAGGTCCCCAGGGTGAAGCTGGGACACTGGGGAGAGTGGCACCAGGCAGTGACAGTGCCGGGAGGAGCAAGGAGCTCCCACGTACACGCGAGAGGGGAGCGAGGATGGGGATGGGATGGAAGAAGGGTGGCCGTGTGGTGTCGGCTTCCTCAGCTGTTCACAGTGTGACCGGGGCCGAGTACAGCTGCAGGGCGGCGGGGGTCAGGGTCCCCTTCTCCGGGGAAGGGTGGGAAGGCAGGATGAAGACAGCCACAGCGCCGGCCCTGCCCTCCCGTCCTCGTCCCCGGCTGTGTGGTCGCCTCTGGCACCTGGTGGCGGGAACATCCCTGACTGGCCCAGGGGAAGAATTTGGTCTCCTTTGGCCGCCATTCCTACAGAGATTCTTTCTTCTAGTTCTTCCAGTTTCCCCCTCCCCCACGACCTGCTTTCTCTAGGCTCACTCCCAAACCTCTTTTTCTCTCTGTTCTTCTCTTGTTCCTACACCCAGCACCCTCCAAATGGACCTGCACGGATGACCGCATCAACAAGGAACATGGCTTGTGCGCAGCCCTGGGTTCAAACTCGGGCTCTGCTGCCTCTTAGCACCGTGACCTGAGACAAGGGGCTCTCCTCGCTGCTGAGCCCGAGTCTGCTCTTCTGTGAAATGGGTGGAAACGGTGTATTTCTCTTAGGGTTGTGCAGCTTCCACAGGCTCGAGCCATGATTGTTGACTGATGTGTAGCAAACCACCCTGAATTTTCTGGGTTAAACAAGTAACTAACTTAATTCTGGGCAGGGACATCCGTTATGCCCCACTTGGCGGCAGGTGGAAATAGCTGGAAGGCTGGGCACCAGAATCATCTAGAAGCTTTTGTGTTCAGGTGTCTGGTGATTGGTGCAGTCTTACGTGGCTGAGATGGCTGGAACACCACACATGGCATCTCCATGAGGCTTCTGGGTTTCCTTGCAAGGGGGCAGATAGATTTCAAGGCCAAGCAGCACTAGAGAGAGAAACATCGGCTGTGAGGGCCACTCCTGGAGGTCACACAGGGTCACTTCTATTCTTTCTGAGTGTCAGGGGAGTCACAGGCTTGCACCCAGTTTCAAGGGGCGTGGAGATACGCGCTATTGCTAATGGTGGGATTGGTGACATTATGAAAGAACACATGATATTAGCAATACCAATGCACCCATCTTTGGGAAAATCCAGTGTGTCAAGTCATATGTATGGCCCTTTGGACAGGAGCTGGCATGCAAGAAGTTCATGGGATTGCTTTGTCACTGAAGTTCTCCCTAAAGCCAGAAACGGCAGGTTCCGAGGGGGAGGAGATCTCACAGTTCTCTGAGCCCTTGCTCTGGCAAATCCACAGGGAAGACTGCAGCCCAGCGGTTCTCAGAGCTTAGGCTCGGAGGGCGGAAGGCACTTGCCCAGAGAATTAGAACTCCTTCCCAGAAGAACCCCAGAAGGCGTTTGCTGTGGCGAGCTGGTGAGGGCAACACTGTGGGGTTAGAGGTAGGCTTTTGGGGATCTTTAAGTTAGCAATTGTCAAATTTGATTTATCCATTTGCTTCCTTCATATTTTTCCTTTTGCTACATTTTGATAGCACCTGTGGCTAATTCATGGATCTTTTTTTAAAAAAAAAGATTTATTTTTCATTTATTTGAAAGGCAGAGTTTCAGAGAGAGAGAGAGAGAGAGAGAGAGATGGCTGGTTCATTCCCCAAATGGCTGCTACAGCTGGAGCTGGGCCAGGCTGAAGCCAGGAGCCAGGAGCTTTATCCGGGTCTCCCACGTGGGTGCAGGGGCCCAAGCACTTGGGCCATCTTCCACTACTTTCCCAGACACACTAGCAGGGAGCTGGACCAGAAGTGGAGCAGCTGGGTCTCAAACCGGCGTCCATGTGGGATGCCCAGCACCATAGGTGGCGGCTTAACCCGCTATGCCACAGCGCCAACACCGCACTGATTTCTCTTTAGCTGGACTCGCTTTCCCCTGGCAGTACATTCCCCCACCCTAAGGCATAACAGCCACCAAAGCAGAGCCGTGCTGACCTTGGCCCTTGCTGCTGCGCCACACTCAGATATCGCTGGTTAAATGAAGAAAAGCTTGGCTTGGAAACGCATCTTAGGTACAGTGCATGGTGTGTGTCCCAGGCAGGCCTGCCTGCATTGTCTGCAGGCCAGCACTTGGCAGAAACGTGGGGTTTCCTGCTGCAAAGTGGCCAAGCACTGTGAGATGGCAACCGCAGCACGTTAGAGCAGCGCTGGGACCGCTGAGCGCTGGAACCCTGGAGGCCAGGACCTGGTCAGGCTGGGAGCCCGGAAGCTGGCCCCGGCCCAGGCTTTGGGAAAGCCCATTTTAAGTAGGACCAGTTTGCTCTCCCAGCCCAGATCCCTGGGCCCACAGACAGTGGGAAGCCTGCTGCCCACCCACATTCAGGGGACTTGAAGGGCTGCCTGTGAGCTGCAGGGTCTCGAAGCAGCCGATAGCACATGTGGTCTCAGCGGACCCCTGGTCCAGGAGCGCTGAGCCCAGGGGAGCCAGGAGGCGTGCCCACGAGGCGGTCTCCTTAGTGGGGCTAGGAGGAAGAGCTGCGTGGTGGGACTGAGAATGTGCGCCTGTCTGTCTGCTTGCTTTGGTGATGAGCTCCGTGTGGTTAATACTGCCGCCCAGGGATAAATATTTTCCTTCCCTTGTCATGCAAGAGGGAGGGATAGACAGAAACTGGAGGAGCAGGATGGGGGCAAGAGAGTGGGGGTGGGAGAGAGAAACAGATCCAGAAATAAAAAAAGAGAAAACATTTCAACGTGGATTTGCAGAACCCTTACAAGAGTCGCAACAATCTCTTTGGCCCAGCTGTTCCGTCACCTGCAGGTGACTGCCAATATCCGTGAAACACCCTAGGCTCCTGGGCTCCGGGATGCAAACCCCAAGCGCTGGTCGTGCTTGGCACCCAGTGTCAGGGGCTCTGTTCTTTGGGCTTTGAGTTTGAGGCCATCAGCAATGATTTTATGAGTGTGGCTGTTTCAGCCGGGATGGCTTCTCGCTGGAGACCGGCGGGCCCGGAGCACTCAGTTGCCCATGGAGCACCCGCTCAGCCTCGGAGAAGTTGTGAGCTCCGCAACAGTAGGTCCCACTGCTGGGAATGGAGCTTGTTCAAGCCATTTTCAATCCACCACAGAGATTCTGCAGGAAAACCACGTTTTGTGGTAAGGGGACACAGCTCTTCCAAAAATCTTTCTCTTGGTTTTGTTCTGTCGCCTTCTCCAGGAGTTGAGTTAAAACAAATAAATAAGGAAAACGTGTATTTCACAAAAAATTCAAGTGGAGTTTATTTTCCGAAGAGTGTCATCTGGGCTCTGCCGGCGTCACCGTCCCAGTGCCCGAGAGAGGTCATCAAATTCCATCCTGTGTCGCCGTCCCAGTGCCCGCCCGGGAGAGGTTGTCGAGTTCCATCCTCAACAGTAGGAGGTGGGGACGGCATCCTCTGCTTCAGAGACCACAGCTGAGGCGGAAGCAGCTTGCTCGGTCTGTACACCTGTAGGTGCTGGAGTTGAGCTTCAAATCTGTGTGGACCCAACTTTTAAGTCCTATGAGCAAGCAAGGACTCTTCTCTTCCCCTGTACAAATTGTTCTCACCCACTAACTGGTTCCTTCAAGAGACATCGATTGAGCCCCTGCTCCGTGCTGGGCTGGGTCTTAGGCACTGCTGATGTTACCGATGCAGCTCTGTCTCTCATTGCTGCATTGTTCTTGTCTCGCTTTTCTTCTGCTTTTCATTCCCATACCTTTCCCCCATTGCTCTGTGGCAGCAGTCACCCACCGGGTTTGTCTCTCTTCTCATCGAGAGGCAAACGCCAGGGGAACTCGGGTCTGTGTCCCAGCCTGCGCCCAGGACCTGTGTCACAAACAACTGGGGTTTGGGTTTGCATAGTCACAGCTTTCCCACTTCCGTTCTGAAATTGCTCCTCCCTCACTTTAAACAGGAGGCGCCAATCCCATTTTCCACCTCCGACCACAGTGATTGGTCCAAGCATGTGCAGGGGACTCAGACAGAGCCAATCAAATTGCTTCCCTAGGATTTTTCTTACCGAGTTGGTAGGGGAGGTTTTTTTCATTGTTGCTGGTTCAGGTGCAGCCATGATTTCGGCTTCCTGATGGCAGAAGAAGAAGGAATGATGACGGAAATGGGTCAGGGACGTGTAGGGTGGAGAGTTCCCAAAAGCCCATTGCTGACATTTGAGAAGGGTTCCTGTCCCACCCTCTCTGTTTTTGGTGAGTGCAGTTGGAGCTGGATTTCTGGGTCCTGACTAGCACATTAGAGCTCAATCGTTCTGGCCCTGGGTTCTTTTGAAACGTTTATGCAACACCATGCCGGGTGTTGGGAAGAGGCTGGAGCCGGGAAGGAATCAGACTGGAATTATGGATCCCATTCCTCAGGTGGAAAAAAACAAGTTCCTGGAAAGAAACCTGGCCTGCCCAGTGCCATGAAGCTGTTCAGCGGAGGGGCTGGAACCAGAACCAGGGTCTTCAGACCTGGAGCCAGCGTGGATTTTTTTTCCTTTCTGCCCCTGAAGAGTTCCCCACCGCCATCCCCCACCTGGGCCGGAGCAGGCCCCTGCAGCTCTTCTGAATGTGGGGAATGCTCCGATTCCTCACGCACTCACAGCCCCGCTGTCTCAGGAAGCTCGCAATAAATTGTTTTTCCAGGCAACGCCTTGCTCCCATCCCTGCAAAACAATGTATTTATTATTGCTGAGCCTTTTCCATCTTAGAGGAGAAAATGCATTCCACATGACTCCCCAAAGCTGAGCGGTCCCGGTTTACAAATACGGTACGTTAATAGCTTTGTAAACATTTATTCAGGATGACAGCTGAGGGGGACATGTGGCATTAATTAGAAGGCTCGACAACGCGGCCTATTAAGAGGGAGGTGAAATCGGAATTAGTTCGCTTTGCTGAGGCAAGAGGCTGTGGGGTGCAAAACTCGGCTCTCGTGTGTTCTGACTCTGGGGACGTGGGGTGTGTTGGGGTGCGTGGGGGTCTCCGAACTTGGGGAAGAAGCCTGCGTTGTTGCAAGATGACCAGGGCCGGCTTCCCCGAGGGTTTCTCCCATGAGCGCTTTCACATGGGGTGGGGTGGGGGGCTTCAAGCCCCATGTCAGCCCCGGGAGCAGGAGGACGGGGTGTGGCAGAACTGGCCAGCCTGCTCTGGGGGGCTGTGGGGGCGCAGCTGTCAAGGAGCTGACTGCGGCTCCGCCTTGCTGTCGTCTCTCCTCTGTGACTGGTAGGCTCTGTGGGCTTCCCCATCACGGCGCTGCCTGGTGCAGATCGTCCCTGCCTTGGGGTACCCAGGAGGCACCCCACTCCACAGGGCAACTCCCAGGGTCCTGCCTCTTCCCAGCTGCCTTGGCGTTCAGCAAGGTTTGCCTCATGGGGCTGTTAGATTGCGGCCTTGTGTTCTTCAAGGTTCTTGAGTTTAGATGTCGGAGGTTATCCCCAGATGGCTGTACGCGCACACACACAAATATCCCAACAGGCTCAGGAGGGGGTGACACGTGTCACACCACTCTAAACTTGTGTCCCGTAGTATCCCCTGTAGACGGTGATATATGAATACTCTTTGGTTTTCCATAAATCCTTTAATTATCTCGTGAATAGCACAATTACGTTGCTTTGTTGCTCTGGGGGCGGTGCTCAGTGTGTTAATTTGTTACTTGTAAGCACGCAGTTGCTCCCTGGTTTGCCCGTGGTCCGGTTTTGGTCTTTCTTCATCTGTGAGTATTCTCCTACAAAGGGGACCCAGGTGCCTCTTGACTTGCAAGAACTTGGCTAGTGGGCTGTGACTGCAAGCAGGAAAGTTGCGTCTGACCTTGGGGAAGCCATGTGCTTTCTCTGGGGCTCTGTTTCACCATCTGTCAAGTGGGAGGATGGGCAGGTAAGGACTGGGGACGCCGTGCGCTGATGGGAGCACTACACAGAGCTGTGGTTTCTGCCCTGCAGGTTTTGCGTGCAAGAGTCTCTGGTCCCTCTGCCCTGGATCCATTCTCTTTGTTCCACTCCTCTGACCTCCTGGCTGAGCCATCCTCGTGCTCAGATCCAAGCCCCACCTGATGACATCAACACGGATAGGAGGAGCCGAAGCAGACCCTCCCCTTGGGCACTGCCTACAAACCACCGCCTTCTCTCCTCCTCTCCGCTCGCAGGGCGGCAGGGAGAGCTCAAAAGCTCAAAGCCGTGCCCTCCTTCCATGGCTTTCAAACATTGTCATGCTCCTCTTCTATGCAAGTGAACTTGCAATGTATTATTACAATGAGCCAACCAGGCGTGGCCACAGATGAAACTAGAGTAGGAGGTCCTACGTCCTTTTCTAGAACCTTCCAGGGTGTGGCAGGGTCCTTTGCAAAGTCTCTATCTAACTCCTCATTTCATGGATGGGGAGCTCCCACCTAGATGGGGCAGAGCCTTGTCCAGCTGGGAAGAGGTGGGGTGGGCCTTCCCCCTTTTTCTTCCCACTAGATTTCAGCAGAAAGGCAAGAGTTTGAGAGAGCATGCTGATAACAGGTAGGTAGCCAGCGGTGAAGAGGGGGTGCCTAAGAGGTGAACTCCCGGGTTCCAATTCTGATCCTATCACTGAGGCTCCGTGGGGCCCAGGCAAATGGCCTTGCCTCTCTGGGACTCAGCTTCTTCGTTATAATAGAAGCGACCTCACTGGCTTGTTGTGAGCGTCTAGTGAGGTGGGGACTTACAGAGTACTCAGCACTGGAGCCTGGTGCTCAGTTGGGGCTGCTCCACCAGCTCCATGGTGCGGGGGACTCATTGGTTGGACAGCTATGGGGAGTGCCGATCAGGCAGACGAGAATGCCAGCTTTGCAACGAACGCCTGGGCACTGATCCCGGATCCCCACTGCCTGCCCTGAGCCCCTCTCAGAGCCCCAGCCACCTCCTCTGATGTCACCTGCTTCTCGCCTTCCTCGTAAGGACAAAGAGAAGGAAGCCATGGAAAGTTCTTAGCTCAATGCCTGGTGTGGACTGTGTCCTCAGCTAAATGGCAGCCTTGATTCTCAGTACAGTGTTTTTTTTTTATTGTTTTCTTCTCAGTAGAGGATGTAGGGCCAGAAAGTCTTCTCTTTCTGGTTCACCCATGTCTCTCTCAATGATCATCCTCATTATAATTATCATGATTATAATCATTACCAACTTAAAAATTGCTCAGGTTCAATCACGGCTCTGCCGCCTAAGAGCTTAAGCTCTTAGACATCACTCTTCCTATCTGTGAAGTGGGTTGGTGATGCTCCCTGCATGGCATAGTGAGGGTTAAAAGGACCATCTAGCAAATGCTGTTTAGAACAGCGCCTGGCACATCAACAAGCTATGCAGGAGCATTGGTCATTTCAGTATTAGTTTTGTTTATGGTGGAAGAAGTCTTCATCCTTATGGAGCTGACAGGGAAAGAAAGAATGTGTGCCATTTGGCGGAACAGGAGACTGAGTCTCCGAGACTTTCAGACCCTTGGCCAGGTCCCCAGGCCTGTAAGAGCTGGAGTCGGCTGCATCCCCTGCCCCCGACACGGCCATCCCCAGCTGGCCCCGGGGTCTGGTGGAAGACTGGGGAATCAGGTGCAGGGTCCAGGCTTCCACCTGTTACTGAACCAGCGGACAAAGCGGGGGCGGCCGCACCCTCTTGTCAGCACCTTCGGCCTTTGCTTTGTTCTCTTTCCAGCCTCCTTTTGGCCTGGAGAAGAACCGACCGTACGACTAGGCTGCTCGAACAGAGCGTGGCTGAGACCCACAAGGACAGCTTTGTTACGGGGTGATGCCCCTGGAGACAGAGGACGTGTGGTGGTGCCTCTTCCAAGCACCTTTGAACACCTCTTCCACTAAAGGCCAGGGGTCATTCTGATCTGTTGGAGAGCTGGGCCGGCACCTGGGAGCGGGGCTGTTTAGATCTTCCACTGAAATGCTGAACAATGCTGGCGAGTTACTTAGCATCGCTGACCTTTGATTTCCCCTTTGATCCAATGACCCATGATCTCATGGCCAAGTATCCTGAAGTCTTTTTTTTTTTTTTTTTTTTTGACAGGCAGAGTGGACAGTGAGAGAGAGAGACAGAGAGAAAGGTCTTCCTTTTGCCGTTGGTTCACCCTCCAATGTCCGCCACGGCCAGAGCGCTGCGGCCGGTGCACCGCACTGATCCGATGGCAGGAGCCAGGTGCTTCTCCTGGTCTCCCATGGGGTGCAGGGCCCAAGCACTTGGGCCATCCTCCACTGCACTCCCTGGCCACAGCAGAGAGCTGGCCTGGAAGAGGGCAACCGGGACAGAATCCGGCACCCCGACCGGGACTAGAACCCGGTGTGCCGGCGCCGCAAGGCGGAGGATTAGCCTAGTGAGCCGCGGCGTCGGCCCCTGAAGTCTTTTCTAACTTTTCTTAATAGTCACTGTGTGTTGGGGGCTAACACACCCTAGTCCCCATGGGATGCTCTTGGAAGGCATTACCCATAATCCCCTGGACAAACCAATGAGATTGGAGTAGAAGCCACATAATCAAACTCAACTGGGTCATATGTCCATTAGTGGGAAATAACCAGTTAAGGCCAGGAACAAACAAAGGATGCACTGTGTTTCAACCTATAAATGTGCATTAATTTGTCACTGTGCTGATACAGGATTAAAGGCTTGAAATTGTATCTGTTGACTGAAGGCTCTTGTACAAGTCACATTCAGTATGGGGGTGACCCACACTCTGTCTGTGAAAGGGGCATCATGAACAATTCCACTGGGATGGCAGGTGTCAACCATGACCTTCAAGGGGAAACAAGGGCATCTGTTCCCTCTACCCATTGTGAGTCATGTAGAATTTCTAATTTATGAAGAAGAGTCTTCCTAGAATTTTACAAACTCCCTCCGATAGTTTAAATTTATCTTATGCACACCTAATTCAAAAGTTATTTTTAAAAGAATATTTATGTATTTATTTGAAGGGGAGAGAGGGAGAGAGGGAGAGAGGGAGAGAGGGAGAGAGAGAGAGGTTGAGAGAGAGAGAGAGAAAGATCTTCTATCTGCTGGTTCACTCCCCAAATGGCCACAAAGTCAGGAGCTAGGAGCTTCCTCTGGGTGTCCCATGTGGGTCCAGGGGCCCAAGCACTTGGGCCATCTTCCACTGCTTTCCCAGGTGCATTAGCAGGGAGCTGGCTCTGAAGCACAGCAGGTGGGACTCGAACCGGTGTCCATATGGGATACCGGCACTGCAGACAAAAGCTTAACTTGCCATGCCACAGCACCAGCCCCCAAAAGTGATTTTTGGAAACAACTTCATTCCATTGTGTCTAAGGTTCTAAACATTCCATTGTTTCGAATTTTAGTGTTCCTTGATGTAATTATTCTCATTCTGCACTTGCAGAAAATGTTACGTGATGTATGATTACCTGATGACAACGATGAGTACAACTGGGGTCGATTGATTTGGGAGCAAACACAAGGAACTCTTGGTGAGTGTGCAGCTCGCGTGGCAGAGGTGGGTTCGAAGGAGACTCCGTAGCAGAGTTGTGAGCACCTGTTGGTACAGTCCCTGGAGGGAGATCTGGTGAAGGGTCAGATAAGAGAGTGTCATTAGTCTTATGATTCTGATTTTTCAAGATACGCGGAGTGGGAGTAACTTACTCAATTTTTTTAAAAGATTTATTTATTTTACTTGAAATGCAGAGCTAAAGAGAAGCAGAGGCAGAGAGAGAGAGAGACAGAGACACAGAGAGAGAATCTTCCATCTGCTGGTTCACTCCCCAGTTGGCCACAACGGCCAGATCTGTGCCAATCCGAAGCCAGGAGCCAGGAGTTTCTTGCAGGTCTCCCATGCAGGTACAGGGGCCCAAGGACTTGGGCCATCTTCTATTGCTTTCCCAGGCCATAGCAGGGAGCTGGATTGGAAGTGAAGCATCTGGGACTTGAACTGGTGCCCATACGGGATGCCGGCACCGCAGGCGGTGGCTTTACCTGCTACACCACAGCGCCTGCTCCCACTTACTCCTACAGCTGTGTAGTCCCTGCTGGAAATTCAAAGGCACATCAGCACATTCAGACTGCTCTGTGCCCCAGGGAAGGGTTCTGCTCAACTATTTAATTACGACTCCTTCATAACATCCTCCTTCCCTTTAAAAATACATACGTACAAAATCCTGTGTCACATAGACACTAGCACGCCACGGAGGTCTCCTGGGAAAACCACACACTTTTCAAGGCTGCTCACATTTTGATGTGCACATGAAATTCCTGCAAATCCTGTGAAAGTGCAAATTATGTTTCGGTAGGGTTGGGCTGGAGCTTGCAAGTCTGTGCTTCTAGAAAGTTCCCCGGGTGATGCCTGTGCCGCGGGTTTAGCTTTTGAGTAGCAGGAGCGCAGATCTGTTCAGCAGAACGACAGGAGTCAGTGTGTAGCTTTCCATTTCCTAGCAGCCACAAGAAAGTTACAGAAAGAAACAGTTGGCTGGCGTCCGTTTCAATGTATTTTGCTTAGGGGGCTGGCACTGTGGCATAGTGGGTTAAGCTGCTGCCTGCAATGCTGACATCCACATGGGTACAAGTTCGAGTCCCAGTTGCTCCACTTCCAATCCGGTTTGTTGCTAATGAGCCTGGGTAAGCAGCAGGAGATGGCCTGAGTCCTTGGACCCCTGAGCCCACACTGGAGACCCAGATGGAACTCCAGGTTCCTGGCTTCCACCTGGCTCAGCCCTGGCCATTGTGGCCATTTGGGGAGTAAACCAGCAGATGGAAGATGTCTCTCTTTCTCTGTCTCTTCCCCCTCTATCTCTGTAACTTCCATTCAAATAAACAAATAAATCTTTAAAAAATTATTTTGTTTCACCCAATATAACAAAAATGTTATCCTTTTGATATGTAATTAATATAAAGAGATGAAACCATTAACAAAGGATGTAGATAAAAACCAATGCTATCTTACTTTTTTTTTTTTTTTTTTTTGACAGGCAGAGTGGACAGTGAGAGAAAGAGAGCCAGAGAGAAAGGTCTTCCTTTGGCATTGGCTCACCCCACAATGGCCGCTGCGGCCGGCACGCTGCGGCCGGCGCATCACACTGATCCGAAGCCAGGAGCCAGGTGCTTCTCCTGGTCTCCCGTGCGGGTGCAGGGCCCAAGCATTTGGGCCATCCTCCACTGCACTCCCTGGCCAGAGCAGAGAGCTGGCCTGGAAGAGGGGCAACTGGGACAGAATCCGGCGCCCCGACCGGGACTAGAACCCCGTGTGCCGGTGCCGCAAGGCAGAGGATTAGCCTATTGAGCTATGGCGCTGGCCTCTTACGTTCTTTATTAACATGCTAAAGCTTGGACAACTGGTGTATTGCTGACACTTATGGAATGTCCCCGTTTGGAACAGAAAGGGTTCCAGTAGTCGTCCCACATGCGTGGTGGCTGGCGCAGTGGCACAGGTGGCCCTGGCACACAGGGTGGGGTCTAGGACTGCCTCATGTGCGCATCTGACTCCGCCCCCCTCTTTTGTTGTGAAATCTGAGTCACTTACAGAATTTTCCCAAGCCTGGGTTTCTTCATCTGGCAAATGCAACTGAAATTCGGGTCCCAGCCCTGGGGCAGCTCGCCTTCTCTGGAGTCATCCAGTCGCCCAGACGGGAGGTGTGGTGTACAGTGAGCCCTCAGGGAAGATTGCGAGGAAGGCCCAAGGCTCTTCAGGCATGTTCTGACCCATGTCGTTGCAAACACAGCCCTCCCTGGGGCCGGGCAGGCAGGGGCTCCCTTGGACTCGTCTCTGCTGTCCTTCACTGTGTGGACATCTCGCTCGCTTCTTGGAGAGGAGCGGTCCCTCTGGTTGGCTGACCGCTTAGAGGGAGAAGCAAGCAATCGGGGCTGGGAACATGGCAGCCCAGGCTCTCAGCGCCAACAGTTGGCTGCAGGTGCACTGAGTGACAAGGGCCCCCGTTCTGTTCTGGGAAGGGCTGTGCCTGGCCTTTCAGGTGTGGATAAGAAACATGGGGCGAATGCATGGGCAGATAAGCCAATTAATGGGGGGACAAAGCCAACAGAGCCGCGGGGAAATAACTGAGACTAATGGGCCGCGGGTCTAAAAAGCGCCCTTTATGAACCTGCGAGAGAAGCAGCCTTTTGCTTGCCTTTCTTTTCTTTTCTTCCTGATGCAGGAGGGAGAAGGTTGTTTTGTTCCGTCTGGGTGTTTAGGCGTTTCCATGGGTCCCTGTACGTATTTCAGAGCCCCGAGGTGGTGTCTCCGCTGCTCCATTTCCTCTGGAGCTTCCCACGGGGCCCTGGGGTGAAGCTCAGGATTTAGAAGACCCATCCCTACCCCAAGGCATCAGGGCTGCTTCTTGGAGCTTTGCTTCCCTGCCATGCCAGCTCTTTGAGCTGTGCCAGATGGAGATTCGTCCGGAATCTCGGAGCTCTCTAGAGGTGGGAGGCCCCGGGAGCTGCAGTGGACCACGTCCGGTCCTGTTGCCTGTCACACACCCGGCTGCTGAGTCTGTGCCCGCGATGGAGCAGTGACCTTAGGCACTCATTTCCAAAGGCAGAAGGAGGAGCCAGTGACGGGCTTGGGGCAGTGGCAGGAGAGGGCCTTCCTTCTATTCGCTCACCGTGCTTGGCCTGTCTGAGGGAGTCTCCAGCAAGTTCTAGGAGTTCAAGTTGTCTCTCTGCGTCGTCAACTGACAGGGTAAAGAGAAAAGGTCATGGTTAAGGGGAGGTTTGACACCCAGGCTTACGGGAGAGGAAACCCTCTCATAGGACATCAGATAGACAACCAGAAGTCCCACCTCCACTTCCGGTCCTGCTGCTGACCACAGTGTGACTGGGTGGGGCCAGAGCCACCGCTTCCCTCCAGGCCTCAGTTTCCCCACCTTTAAACTAGGAGAAAATCTCTCCTCTGCCCAAACATGTGGGAAAAATCGTCAACCAAGCCTGGGTCCTTAGCAATGCAGTTTGAGCATCATAGTCCAAAAATCTGAACTCCTGAGTGGTTCAAAATCTGAAACGTTTTGAGCATTGATAGGATACCACTACTGGGAAATTTCACACCATGAAAATTTGTCACATGGGCAAAATCATTAAAAGCAGTGAATAAAATTACCTTCAGGCTATGTGCGTATGTATGAAACATACATGAATTCTATGGTTAGACTTTCATCTCCAAGATATTTTGCAAATATTCTAGAGTCCTCCAACATTCAAAGTCTGGAACATATCTGGTCTCAAATATCTATGGACCAAGGATGCTCAACCTGTATCGTCACACCACAAGGTGTTTGTAGGTGGGGCATAGCTTGTCGTCAGCTGTTCTTTCCTGTAAGATTTGGGAAACCTTGGGGTTTCGCTTACGGGAGAATGGGGAGATGGCAACACTGACCAGGGAGAAGGGCTCTTGGTTGGAAGATGGGAGGGATGTGATGTTAACGGTCAGAGCTCAGCCTGAGTTCATGGCCGGGTTCACAGCCGGGTTCACGGCCGGGTTCATGGCCAGGTTCTGAAGTTGGCCTCCAAGACTTGTGCTTAAAAAAAAAAATCCTTGTGGGAGCTGCCAAACCAATATTAAAACCAGTGGCTTATGAAAGGGGCTGGCAGTCAGTACCAGGGATCTTTCTGCACCTCCTAATTTTGCAGAGAGAAGGAAACATCCCATCTGAGCAGGTCTTGCAGAGACACGAAGAGCAGACAGGGGACAGGGGGGACCCTGTGCCTCAAGGCTGTGATGGCTCCGTTTAGAAATGGTCCAAGAGGCAAGGGGCGGGGTGGGGGGACCGCTCAGAAGGCCAAGGGACCCAACCATAGGTAGGGAGAGACGTCATCACGGACAGGGAGACGCCCACGTGGAAACCCAGCGATGGCTCAGCTAACCGACCCTGCACGCCGCTGGGGCTTTTTGTTGTCATTGTTTTCAAAAACATTTTACTCACACCCACGAGGGCGACCCAGCACCACTGCATGTGACGGATGTGAGGCCAAATTGAGAGCGCTTTCGGGAGGGCAAATTCCTCCACAAGGTGCGAACCTTCCCCCGCTGTCATGAGCTTATCCCCCACTGGAGGAGAGCACGGAGGTGGAGGAGAAAGACGGGGCTGCAACATCGTGGCCGGCAGCAGTGACGAGAAACGACCGCGTCACTGACAGTGGGAGGCTGGCTAAGACAGGGAGTTGTACTCAGGCGTGGGGGGTTCAGAAGACGCTAAGAGTTACTTTCCTCTTCCCTTCCACCCTACCCTCCCTCCCTCCTTTCCTCTTCTCCCTCCCTCCTGTCCTTCTCATCAGTAGATGAGACATCGCTCGTCTACTGTTTCACTCCCTAAACGGCTGCAACAGCTGGGGCTAAGCCAGGAACTCCAGCAGGATCTCCCACGTGGTGGCAGAGGCCCAACCATTTGGGCCATCTTCTGTCTTCCCGGGTGCATTAGTAGGGAGCTGGATCAGAAGTGGAGCAGCCAGGGTTCAAACTGATGCTCAGACATGGGATACCAGTGTTGTA